AGGAACCTTACATAGACGAAGGGACAAAGGGTTTAAATCATGATAGTTGTGCATGGTTTAAATCATGATAGTTGTGTATCAGGGTTGTATCCTTTCACAATACTTATTCAATGTGTATGCTAAGCAAATAACCTGAGAAGCTAGACTGTATGAAGAAGAACTCAGCATCAGGATTGGAGGAAGACTCATTAACACTACTACATGTAGATGATACAATCCTATTTACTATAAGTGAAAAGGGCTTGAAGCACTTATTAATGAAAATCAAAGCATGGATTACAACTCACTATAAAGAAAGCAAAATTCCTCACAACTGGACCAATAAGCAACATCATGGTAACTGGAGAAAAGAATGAAGTTGTCAAAGATTTCACTGTATTTGGATCCACAATCAACACACGTGAAAGCAGCAGTCAAGAATTCAGACGTCATACTGTACTTGACAAATTTGCTGCAAAAGACCTCTTTGAAGCGCTGAATAGCAAAGATGTCACTTTGAAGACTAAGGTGTGCATGACCCAAGTCACAGTATTTTTAATAGTCTCACAGGTATGTGACAGCTGTACGGTGAATAAGGAAGCCCAAAGAAGAATTGCTGCATTTGATTCATGGTGTTGGTGGAAAATATTGAAAATACCATAGACTGACAGAAAAATGAACATATCTGTCTTGGAAGAAGTATAGCTGGAATGTTCCTTAGAAGGAAGAGTGGCCAGACTCCATCTTTTGTACTTTAGCCATGGTATCAGAAGGGACAAGTCCCTGGAGAAGGATATAATGGTTGGTAAACTAGAGGGTCAGCAAAAAAGGGAAGATCCTCAATGGGATGGACTGTCACAGTGGCTGCAATGATGGGCTCAAGCACAGCAACAATTGTGAGGAGGATGTAGTATTGCACAGTGTTTTGTTCCGTTATACATGGGGTTGCTATGAGTCTGAAAAGACTCAACAGCAACTCACAACAACATACATTATTCATAATCAAAACTAAAACACTTGCCATTGAGTCAGTTCTGACTCATAACAGACTTCTACTGATAGGACAAAGTAAAACTGCCCCATAGAGTGTCCCAGGCTGTAATCTTTACATAAGCGTACTGTTACATCTTTCTCCCATGAAGTGGCTTTTAGATTCAAACTGCCAATCTGTGATTAACAGCCAAGTGTTTAACCAAATGACCTATATTGTTGTAGTTAGATGCCTTCCGATTGGCTGTGACTCACAGTGACCCCTCTGTACAACAGCACAAAACAATGACTGGTCCTGTCCCTTCCTCACGATGGTTGCTGTGTTTGAGCCCACTGCTGTAGCTACTGTGTTAATCCCTCTTGTTGAGGGTCTTACTCTTTTTTGCTGACCCTCTACTGTACCGAGTATGATGTCCTTCTCCAGAGATTGGCCCTTCCTGATGACATGCCCAAAGCATGTGAGACAAAGTCTCCCTATCCTCACTTCCAAGGAGCATTCTGGCTGTACTTCTTCCAAGACAGATCTGCTCGTTCTGATAGCAGTCCATAGATTTAATATTCTTCACCAACACCTTAATTCAAAGGCATCAATTCTTCTTTAGTCTTTCTATTCATTGTCCAGTTTTTGCATGCATATGAAGCCAGTGAGAAGATCACAGCTTGGGTCAGGCGCACTTCAGTCTTCAAAGTGACATCTTTGCTTTTTAACACTGTAAAGAGATGTTTTTCAGCAGATTTGTCCAATGCAATACATCATTTCGTTTCTTGACTGTTGCTTCCATGGGTGTTGAGTGTAGATCCAATAAAATGAAATCCTTGACCACTCCAATATTTTCTCAATTTATTATAATGTTGCTTATTGGTCCAGTTGTGAGGATTTTAGCTTTCTTTATGCTGAGGCGTAATCTATACTGAAGGCTGTAGTCTTTGATCTTCATCAATGAGTGCTTCAAGTTGGCTTTGCTTTCAGCAAGCAAGGTTGTATCCTCTGCATATCACAGGTTGGTAATGAGTCTTCCTTCAATCCTGGTACCATGTTCTTCTTCATAGAGTCCAATTTCCTGGATTATTTTCTCAGTATACATATTGAGCAAATATGGTGAAAGTATATAATCCTGATGCACACCTTTCCCTGATGCAGTATCTCTTGTTCCATTTAAATGACTATCTCTTGTTCTATGCACAGGTTCCAGAGGAGCACAATTCTGAGCCATAGACACTTTAAAAATACTTCTTAAAATCAATCCAATGGCAAACAGAAAACATTTTGTTGAAGTCAGTACCTCCTCAGTAGTGCCACTAATATGCTACTCTGGAAATGCTGCTAATGCCAGGCACATGGCAGATGCTGGAAAATCATTAAAAACTACCTTCACCTAGAATATGCCCACATTTGTTGGGGCTTTGGTCTCAATAAGAAGGTAATTAACATCACACTACTGTGCTACTTATAAAGTTGGGTCAAGTGTGTAACTAACTCAGTGATTTGCTTCTGCTGAATATTCTTTCCACTGTTTCAGGAAGGTACAATGTTCAGCCTCACCCAAAATGACAGTAGAAGGTGAAAGGACAGACCTCCAAGACTTGTGTATGACATTTATTCATAAAGTGGCATATGTGTATGGCATTTTCTCTGCTATGATAAATAATTTGGCTAATAGCTCCACTTGAGCTACCAACTAATGTACAGTAAGGTCAAGAGAAAAAGAGACAAATTTCACAAATGTCAGCCAAGTATGCTACTAGCTACTGTTGGAAAAAATACATCACAATGTCTTCCTTTTCCTATCATTTATATTTTACAAACTGGTTACTCCAGTCAGACAGCTGAGATTAGGTTCTATCTGAAGGTTTTTTTTTTCTTTTTCTTTTTTTTTTTGGTAAATGCCTATATGATTTCTTTGAAAATAAACTCATCAATATAAATTAATTAGAAACTTTGTTTTCTCAGTTTCCTCACATGGTAAAATTTTGATTTCACATCTAATTAAATATCTGAAGGAAAGCAAGGAAACACAAAATTATTCCAAAGTGGTAGAAGAAGGTGTTCATATTATTTATAAAAATTAGTATGGAAATTAATGTAGCCATGTAAACAAGATATTAATGTTTTTTACTAACATGATTTATTTTGACAATGGTTCATACTGTGATATTTTTTAGTTCATATGGAATGGTCAATATAATGCATATATACATACATATATATTAAACACAGACACACACCACACACACACACACACACAGAGTAAAACCTGGGAAAGCCAGAACCTGTATAAGACAGAAATCTACTAGAGAAGGAAAACGAATACTTCCCACTAAAAGAAAAGTATTAAGATTGCTCCCTGTCAAAGGCGGGAAACTTGAAAGGCCTGGAAAAACATGGTAGTAAGTAAGTCACATCAAGTTCCAACTCTCAGAACCATTTATGAAAACTGTGAGACAGAACTCACCGGGCAGTCTTCTTTCCCAGGGCTCACAAGTTTTCACCTTTGACAAGATGCAGTCTTCTTATTTTTCAACTGCTCTCTATTACTGGAAAATATTAGTTTTCCTTCTCTGAAAAGTTTTTGCTTTACACAGGTTGAAGCCTTTCTAGCTTTTACCGTATATCAATTATTACTGTAAATATATAACTAGTTAAAAAAAAGAACAGTTGCTGTGAAGTTGATTCTGACCCATGGTGACCCAATGTGTGTCAGGGCAGACCTGTGCTCCACAGGGTTTTCAATGGCTGAACTTTGGGAAGTAGACCTACAGGCCTTGCTTCCAAGGCTCCTCTAAGAACACATAAATCTCCAGCCTTCTGGTTAGCAGCTGAGCACATTAATCATTAGCATCCTTAGGGGCATATGAATATATACAAAAAAAAAAGACACACCTATGCATACACCATGATGATAACAATGTCAAGGATATCATACTGAAAAGAAAATGAGAAAAAAAAGAATAGAAGAGGGTATAGAAAAATAAAAATATCCTTGATGAGGGTATTAGCATTATGAAGGAGCCTTGATGGTGCAGTGGTAAAATGTTCAGCTGTTATTTGAAAGGTTGGCAGTTAGAACCCACTAGCTCCTACACAGGAGAAAGATGTAACAGTCTGCTTGTGTAAAGATTACAGTCTTGGCAATCCTATGGAGCAGTTTTACTCTATCCTACAGGGTCGCTGTGAACCAGAATTGACTCTAGGGCAATGGGCTTTGTTTTGGTTTTCGTAGCATTATGAAGTCTCTAGGGTGGAACAAGTATTAATACTCAGCTACTAATCTAAAGACCAGTGGTTCAAACTCACCCAACTATGCCACAAAAGAAAGACCTCGTGATCTGCTTCCATAAAGATTACAGCCAAGAAAACCCTACGAGCAATTTGACTCTCTAACCCACAGGGGCACCATCAGTCAGAATCAACTTGACAGCACCAAATTTTGTGCTTCTGGTTTTAGAACATTAAACCCACTGCCACTGAGTTGATTTTGACTCAAAGTGACTCTATAGAACAGAGCAGAACTGCCTCGTAGGGTTTCCCAGGCTATAAATCTTTACGAAGCAGACCACCTCATCTTTCTCCCACAGAGTGGTTGGTGGGTTCGAACTGCCAAACTTTTGGTTAGCAGCGAACTGCTTTAACCACTGCACCACCAGAGGTGTTTTTCTCCATTTTTTGGTAACATCATTATATTGCTTTTAAAATTAGAATATATTTATTTTGGTTTGGCATACATATAAAGCCAGTATATCACTTGTTGTTGTTGTTATGTGCTGTCGAGTCGGACCCGACTCCTAGCGACCCCTCCTTGGGTTTCTGAGGCAGTATCACTACAGAAGTAGATTGTTCCATCTTCCTTCCGAGGAGTGGCTGGTGGATTTGAACTGCCAGCTTTCTGGTTAGTAGTCAAGTGCCTCAGGCACTACACTACCAGAGCTCCCATATATCACTTAAAAATATTAAACACTGCTAAAAGAACATAATTTTTTAAATGAAATCTGTATATAGCTTTAAAACTAACATAAATATAAACTCCACATACCTGAACCGACCTCTTTTTCCTCTTCTTCAATGTTGTTTTTGATGCTATCATATTCCTCATCAATTGTCTGGTTACCACGCATCTGAGATAAAATTCTACGGGCCTTCTGAGTCTGTCCTTTCTGAATAAGCCAGCGAGGGCTTTCAGGTAAAAAAAGAAAGCCAAAAAACTGTATAATTGCTGGAATTGCTGCAAGTCCCAACATGTACCTGCAATAAGAAATCCATATATTATTGTAAAATTTGGTCTCACTAGCACTTAGCATGAATAAAAAGGTTGAGTTCACAGCATTGAGAATAAAATCTAATGATGCTGAATTGTCAGTATGGTTTTATTATATCTGTATTTGAAAACAAAAAAAAAAGGAAACTTTTATGTTGTATGAAAAATAAAACAGAAAAAGCCAATTTTTCTTATTCATATAATTTACAGTGAAAAAGAATGCACTAAAGTCACAATAAATATGTATAAGCTGATCCAAAGACTTCATAAAAAACACAATAATCATCATCCCTACTTAACAGTAACACACCTAACATATTTCTAAAGTTTACAGTAAAACAAAAAAGGCTACAATAACAATCTTTGATACCTATTTTAAAGACATACTTAAAATAAAACAGATGTCCAAATCTGTTTCTTTATGGTTATTTCTTCTGTTAATGATTAGTTATGATTTCTAACAATTTTCTTATTGTATCTCATCATCAAGCATCATGTCTGCCATCAACTGAGGCAGAGAAGCCCATAGCAAAAAAAAATGGAGTCAGAAGCAAATGACTAGACTAGAAATGACTAGAAATATGAAAAAGATCTTTATCTTGTTTTAAATTATTTGTTATTGCCTTTGAAATGTCTATTACTAATGGCTAGCAAAATTCTAATAAAAACATTCATATCATTTAAAATCCAACAGAAGAGTAACAAAAAAAGAATAATATGAATATATCAACATCAAAGACATTTCCAAAATATTCTGACCACTGGACTGATGTAACATTACTAAGCTTCAATTTCTTTGAATTGAAAGAATTATATTAGATAAACTTTTAAGGTCTCTTTCAACTGGAAACTTCTGTGAATCTATGATACGTGGGTATGTTCTCTTAATCCAAGTGTCCTGGGTTTTCTCATGAGAGTAGAGCTCAAAAGGCCAACACTATTTACATAATAGCCCATACTCACTGTTATTTATGAGTCTATGAACAGTCACCTGACTAGTACATTTTTCCAAAGCTTTTCTAACTCTGACTAAAATCAAAGTATAAAAAAAAAAAAAAAAAACACTGCCATAGAGTTGTATATGATAGTAGCCTTGAAACCTCCAGAGATAAATTTTGTAAAATAAATTCACTGTTTTCCAGGTAATTTCATTTTAATTCCAAAAGCAACAGAAGAATAAAAAAAGTGATTGTCAGATGGATAATACCTCCTACTCCAAACAGAAACTAATCCTACACATTAGAGACAGAAAAATTAACAAAGGTTTAGAAAGTAAAAAACGCACTTATGACAGCTGAGTAAATGGATCATTTGGTGGCATGTAGTATTGAAAGAAATCTTATTAGACGTATCTCTTATTTAATCCATGGGTTGTAATAATTACATCAATACTTAATCACTCCCTCCTATGCTCACACCTACAGAACAATTTTGTCAACCTCAATATATATCATCACATCTTACAATTTGTTATTAGTTATTTACCTGTCCCACTCTACTGTATAATATTTAACTTTGTATTTGGCACAGTATCCAGTAAACTATCTTGCACAAAGTAGGCATTTAGTAAATGTTCCATGAAATGATACGAAAAAAATCATGTATCTAAACTTTCTGTACTAACCAAACAGAAAATAACTATGCTTCAGACTCATATAGCAATATTTTACGTGCCAACTATTTGGAATTACTTAACTCTGCAAACCTACTTGCACAGAAACTCCTTCTACTCAAACCATTCATTATTCTAGATACAGCCAGAGCTCTCCAGACCTTCTCTTTTGGATGAGTCTTCAAATGAGAACCAAGGAGATTAGCTTGTTATTTCTGGCCACTTCCACGTAAGATATTAACTTGTACAACCAAAACCATTACTTAAATGTCTGTTTTATTATAGTAAATGAATGATACTTCTATTCAAGTTGTGTTCTCTCTTAAAGAAAAGGTTATCCTATATTGCCAATTATTAAAAGGAAAGACACAGACAAGGTCAACACAAAATTTACTGGATTAGGAAATAAATAAGAAAAGTTCTGAAGATGAAAGCCTTTATGTTCATTTCTCTATACCTCTCATGATCTGTACTTCTGTTCTACAAAATCCTTTAGGAATAAATTACGATTAAAGAGGTATACAGACTACTTCAAAAAAGCACTTGAAATGAATTTTTATAAATGAAATCACTTTTAGACCAAAAGGTGCTCACCAACACTTTATTACTTGCTATTTAATCAGCATCAATATTTTAAAAAATTAAAAGGAGGGAAAAGAAAAGAGAAGGAAAAAAAAAAAAAAAAAAGAGTGAAAACATGAACATTAGCCTATGCTTCTTAGGGGCTAAAAAAGAATACTTCAGTCCTCCAGTCTTTGCAAACTGGATAGTCTCTAAAACATAGGTGAGTGAATAATAAAACCTATAAATCAAGAGAAACTCAAAGAACACTAAATTTCTGTTGATTTATAAATTTTATTGTTCACTCTCCTATATTAAACTCAGTAAAACATTCCAGGAGTAGCGGGGAATAAAAGAGGCTAGTTAGGAGCTATAATTCCCAACTGTACCCAGCATAGTGCCATCTACTGAGCTAGGTAACACACACTGGATTTAACCAGTACAGGCCTGCTAATATAGGAGCTCTGGTGGCATAGTGCCTAAGGCATCTGACTGCTAACCAGAAGGCTGGGGGTTCAAACCCATCAGCCACTCCTCGGAAGGAAGATTGGGCAAAGCTATTTCTGTAGTGATACCACCTCGCAAACCCAAGGAGGGGTCTCTATGAGTCAGATCTGACTCAATGGCAGTGTATTTGGTTTGTTGCGTTGGCCTAATAGTGGCAAATGGATTACACTGTTGCTCTCTCAAAAACTATACTTATTAGATCAGAGCTCCTTATTAAGAAAGAACCCCTTGAAAATTTTCTCTTTGAAAATAATTGAAGACTAAACCAAACCAAAACCAAACACATTGCCATCAAGTTGGACCCAACTCATAGCGAACCCTCCTTGGGTTTCCGAGGCTGTATCATGACGGAATCCTCTTTCTGAGGAGTGGCTGGTGGTTTGAACCACCAGCCTTCTGGTTAGCAGTCAAATGCCTTAGGCACTATGCCATCAGAGCTCCCAATCGAAAATTATTAGTTAAAATCTCATTTGCAAGGGTAAACTTGTGCCACTCACTTTGAACATGTTTTATTTAATTTTTCTTTAATACATAATGGTAAACTTTCATATAAGAAAAAAATGCACAAAACAAGAAAGTAGATATTCTAAAAGATAACAAAAAACTGACCTAAGAGATTTGATCCATTTTATTTTATATGATGACAGATCTAAAGTTTTTTCCCTATCTTAAGCCTCCAAAAGGCTTCCCCTCAAGCTGCTCTCCTTCCAGATGGAATCATGCAGGAGTGAGGAATCGTAACCTGCATCCATGTTCTGCTTATTTCTCTTCTCTCCTCCATTCTCCTTAAATTTACAAAGGACTAGAAACTGTTGTCAATGCCCTACACTAGAAGATGTATCTGATGTATGGTTTTAATTGTATATGATTTTGGTTTTAATTGTAAGACAAGCTATTACAGCTTAGCTATCATAGCTATGGGAACTTTATTATTATATGTTCTATTTAAAACAAACTGTATGCAATTGTTTTTATAGCTCTGAGGTGCTCAACTCTACTAAGGGAAGTCACTCTTTCACTCCAAGAGGCACAATGAAGGTTTTTCAGACATCACAGTCATTTAGTCAATTATCCTTCTAATGGGCCATGAAAACATTAAGGTGCAGTTCAATAATCACTTTCTTACTTGTCTTCCAACCTCATGTTGCCAAAAGTTTGTTTCTAAAACATAATCTCCACCTATCATTTTTCTAGTCAAAAAGAAACTTGGTATTTTTTCTAACACTAAGATTGCTCAGTGACAATCTCTGAAACTTTGTTCTTAGTGTAGTATAGTTTACTAGAAATATTCTCTAATAAGATCCCATACTGGCTTATGATACACTGAAAAATATTAAGTGACAAACTTGATGTCTGTAATTCCAATTGTGATTTCCATCCTCCGTGTTCTAGCTTTCATTCTTGTTCATGTCCATCTGTTACTGAATTTTAAACTTTGCAATGTTAGCTCTTTATGAATAGTTCAAATGATCTAGAGGAAACTCTAAAATAATATAATAACATTTATGATAATAAGTATAAAAATGTTTTGCTCTTTAAAAATATAGGTTCAAGGCGACTTCTCTGGCCCCTCTCAGGGGCCTGTGAACCTCTCCCGGGCCCCTCTTGGGGACCCGTAAACCTCTCCCAGGAGCTCAAAATAAAATCTTCTCTTTAACCCCACTTTTGTGCTTCCTCTTCTCCTTACTGCAACCTCACATCTGGTGTGCTGCTTGGGAAGGGGAAGTGTGGTGCAAGTAATCTCTGCTGGAACAGAGTGCTGCACCCCTCCTTCTCCCTTTCCTCCACCTTTTCACGGACCAGGAACCTCCAGCCATCATCATCCAACACTGGTGAGTTTCCCAGTTTGGCTAATTTCCCAATCGTGGGCACCTAGATCCCAAGTCCTGGTTCCACTTCCAGAGCCTCTGGTCCATAAACCGTGAGCTTACGTCAGAGTCTCTTCCACTCCAAAGGCTGAGGTACCCTGGGGATGCCCTGGGTTCCCTGTCTTTCCACAGCATAGCCGTTCCAGACTGAAGACTACAGTGGAGATGCCCACTGTTTTCTTCCAGTCTCCATTTCCAAGATTCTGGCGAAACGACTGGGACGCTCATCCTTTGACAGAATCTTTCCACTGGGACTTAAGGGATCATGGGTAACCAGAACTCCAAACCAGACCCAACTACTCCCCTGGAGTGTCTCTTACTCAATCTCCACGCCCTGGGGCTGGCTCAGGACTTATGTTCCAAACGCCTGATTTTCTATTGCAATACTGTTTGGTCCCAATAATAATTTTCAATGGCCTGAGCAAGGAACTTTCGATTT